TCTGCTTGCTTACATATTCAATGTAACTGGACCTCATTAATATTGACTGGGAAAGAAACTTAGATATTTTATTCACAACGTAAGGGTACAAATGTATTTACTACTCCTAAACCTAATCTTTTTACTTTAAGATACCCAAGAGAACATTAATGCTTTGAATAGGTGAAATAAGGCAAATGAGATGACTTGGTGCAATATTCTAGAGTTTACCTCGAATACGCTCCAAAGCTAACATTTACATTATTTTATTTTCTTCAAGTATCATGTTAAATATCAATAAGATATTTTGGTGAGATTAGATAGAGAGTATGCCAAAGTACTATGTCAGACTTGAATAGCATCAAGATAGCCTAAGGAACTCTAGTATGAAATCGAATTTTGGAAAATGATTGTTTATTATTTAAAAATTAGCTGGAGATCAATAGGGCTGATTTGGGTGGTAAGTTTCAAGTTGACATGATTATTGCCTTGTTACCAAACTCGTTCGACTCTGTTAGAGTGAACTAAATAAGGAATCAGTTTGAGTTCACACTCGCTGATATTCTTATAGAATTGGTAACAGATGAAGGGATAATTAAGAGTATGGGTGTTCCTATCAATCTAACCTAGTCTATACCATCTTCTTCTAGGCCCAAGTGGACGGGTAAAGCAAAGAAGAAGGATGATAATAGGACTAGGCTAGCACAAAACATGGGTATCCAAAAGGTTAAAGGGAATAAGGCAGTGTATGTTGAGGGCAAATTAAATTGTTTCTTTTGCTGCTAACGAAGACACTAAAGGACGAACTGTCTAAGCAATGACGTGGTATAGGAAAATATATATTTAATCATTGAGTCATGTTATGTGGTTGTATCTATTAATTCCTGATGGATAGATTCTGGAGCCACTAAATATTTTTGCAATTCGTTGCAAGGATTTCAGGAATCCAGAAGCCTCGATGATATGGAATATATTTGTACTTGACCTGATGTCAAGGTTATAGCTAAGTCAGTGGGAGTATTACATATGAAATTGGAGAATGTGAGGATATTAGTATTAGAGAACTATTTTTATGCACAGAAGTTAGACGCTATCTTATTCTTGTTTTACTTGTGGTTTATAAAAACTGTGTTGTTATTTTGTAAAACTGGTTTTATAAAATTGAATAGATATGCGATTGATTCTGGTGCATTGAAAGATGGTTAATATACTATAATCATAAACTCTTAAGATTTGCAGGATGTAGAAACTAATGTTGCATCTTCTAAATTGAATGTTAAGAGAAAAATTGTTATTCCTGATTCATTGTATTTTTAGTGTCTATTTTTGGGTTGTAATCAGTCAAAATGAGATTCAAAGATTGGTCAAAGAAGGTTAATTACCTAGTGAGGCAAAGGAGCCTAAACCAAACTTGTGAACCCTGTTTTGAAGGATAGATAATTCTAAGGGCTTAATCAGCCAGATGAAATAGACATAAAGGATAATTGGAGTCGGTACACACTGACACGTGTGGTCTTATGAACATCCAAGCAAGATTACTCACGTTTTGGATAAGTTTATCTGATGCAACACAAGTCTTAAACTCTTGGTATATTTTGAGAAGGTCAAGACTGATGTGGAGTACATATTAGGTAAACTTATCAAGACACTTTGATCTGATCGAGGATATGAGTATTTCTTGGGATAGTGTAAAGACTATATGGTCAATGAGGGTGTTATGTACCAGTTTTCCGCAATTGACGCTAAATGCATTTAGGTGTCAAATAGGAATAACATAATTCTACTTAACATGGTTAGATCTATGATCAGTTATGCCACATTATCTCTTTCATTTAAGAGTTTAGTGTTAATGACATCAATGCGCATTATGAACTGCATTCCATCTTAGTCTGTCTCAAGGATACCGTTAAGTTGTGTTTTTGACTAAATCTTAGTTTGAATTACATGCACATATGGGGTAGTCTTGCACATGTGCGCTTGATATGGACAAGTAAGTTGGAAACAGATCATACGCATGATAGATTTGATAGCTACTCTAAAAGTCACTAGGACGGATTATTTTATGATCTCAATGATAAAAGTTGATTGTTTACACTCACTGTTTATCTATAGGAGAATCATATTATGAATCACATACCTAGTAGCATAGTGTTAGATAATATGGAATGAGTACCAGATGTACCACATATGAACACACTTAGTATAGAGATTTAGAATTATAGATGAATTCCCTATTGATGCGTCAGCATCATCTAGTACACAGATTCCTGCATCGGTACATTGATGTAGTGGGAGGATTATTATCCAATCCGACAGAATCATGTTTTTAGGTAAGACCATTATGGACATCCCTGTTAAACATAAGTTGGACCCAGTAAGCTACACGAAAGCGTGAACCGATATGGATACAGATCGTTTTGGCAAGTTACTATGAAATCAGAGTTGGAATCTATGTATTCTAATAAATTTTGGGATCTTGTAGAACTTTCTAGTAGGGTGATTCCTATGGAAGGCAAGTTAATCTACAATAAGATACCAGAAGATTTCTTAGTGAATTAATCATGAGTATACAAGGGAATGTCATTATTTTTCTGATTCTATATATATTGATGACATCCTACTCATTTAGTATGATGTGGAAGTTTTGTCATCAGTAAAGAGGCTGTTGTTTAATTACTTTTAAATGAAGGATTTTCAAGATGTAAGCTATATTCCTAGGATCAAGCTTGAGCAAAATCAAGTTAAAAAGGAAAATAGGCTTATCTTAATAATCCTACATTGATAAAGTTTTGACTAGGTTTGGTATGCATAACTCAAAGAATGAGTTCTTACTTTATTGATATGGATGGCTCTCTCTAGTAAGTAGTTTTTCAAGACTATCAAAGGAGATTGAGCAAATGAGACTGGAACTATATGCTTTGGCATATGGAAGTCTTATATATGCCATAGTCTATACCAAATAGGACATCCGCTACATAGTAGGGATAGTCAGAAGATATCAATCCAATCCTGGACTTGATAACTGGTCTGTTGTGAAAAATATCATTAAGTACCTAAGGAGGACCAATGATATCATACTCATTTATGGATGTGATGATATGGTCCTAGTCAGGTATGCTAGTTCTGATTTTCAATCAGAAGTAGATACAATGAGGTTCATGACTTAGTGTATGTTCACTCAATGGAAGGGAAATCAGTTAGTAGATTGTTAAGCAGATTTCAACTGCTGACTTAAACCTGCAGGTGGAGTACATTACAGCCTTAAAGGCGGCAATGGAAGCCTTTTTGGTTTGATCTCACTGATTTAGAGGTTGTGGAACATACTACCCTACCTATCGAGCTATATTGCGACAATAGTGCAGAAGTAGTCCAAACCAATGACCCAAGGTTCCATAGAGGAACAAGATACACTGAGAGGAAGTATCATGTTCTACATGATATTGTCCGGCAAGAAAATGTACTCGTGGCTGGAACATTGCATTGGAACACAACTTTGTTGATCCATTAACAAGGGTGTCATTGATCAATAATTTTGATCGTCATCTGGATAACATTGGAGTTAGATGTAATTGGAATTGGCTATGAGGGCAAGTGGGAGCTGTTGGGATTTATATGCCCTGGCATAGCAAATTCCTATCTGGATTATAGTGACATATGTTCCTGACGTTTCTGAAATATTTATGCTATATACAATTGGTGAATTCAATGTATTATGTTTCGATTCATTATAGAATTGAAAGTGTCCACTTGATTACAAGAGATATTTATATATGTATGTGATGGCGATTAATACATGATTATAAATAGTAATCATAAATTATTCATAGTCGGTAATTATGGATGGACTCATAATTAATTAAGACTTAAACTGAATCCGCGTTAGGTTGAGATATATTGTGGGAGCCGTCGTATGCAATTGCTCCCTATCACCGTCATGACATTTGACTCTTAAGTATGAGAAAAATATAAACTCTTTTATTAATTAATAATTATTTTGATTTGTTCGGCGGATTCTTCGGGATCCTTAGATCTACGCTTTGGGTAGTTATGTAATTAATAGTTAGAGGATTATATTTTCAATATTTGCATCATTGCTACTTGTATTTATTTTGTATTGACTATGGTTGATCACAAAGTAAATTCGAAGGTTTTCGTGTGTTTTTAGACAAAATGATTTATTATATATTTATTTATTTAAATTATTATTTTTGTCAAACAAATATTTTATTGTGATCGAGCCAGAAATAATCAAAGGTATCAAAATAAATATATTAATTAAGTAGTCGGATTGATGGCTTTATTTATCCGATAACTAATTATGCATAGAGGGGTCAAAGTGCAATATTGACTTAGAGGTTATTTATTATTTAATTGGAGTTCAATTAATTTCTTTTAGTGGAGTATAAATTAATTTATGAATTGATTGAATTGGGTCCATGGACCGGGTCAATTATTAATTCATTGTAGCCAATAAAATAATAAGTCCAAATGATTCTCACTCATAGCCCAACTTGATATTGGAATCATATTAGATTTGAGACATGTGAATTAGAGATTGAGAATGATTTGTTGTTTCATTTTCTTTATCTTTATGTTGCCTATAAATATACATGATCTATGTATATTTTAGGGGTGATTTTTTTGGGAAGAAGAACTCTCTAGAAAATTAGGGTTTATGTTCCCATCTAATGGAGGCTCGCACAAGCCTAATTTTCCAAGGTCATTCATGGAGGCATATGAGTGATTCCTAAAGGCAGAACAATTAACAAGAAGATGGAGATTTTAGGAGAAGACATCTTACTAAGGGATCTACAATAAGCGAGAACATTCACTTTAGAGGAAAGATTTAAAGGTTTATTCAGACCTTTGATGTAAGTATTCAATCTAGTTTTATTGAATGAGACATCATATTTTATTTTTATATAAAACTTGTTTGTATGTGATGAATCAAGATCTATGAATCAAAATTTCTAGAACAGTTTTTAAAACTTACACGTTTCCCAACAGAGACTACCAAGGGGATGGTAGGTTTCGCAAGGTCTAATACTGCCTTACCTACGCAGCTAGCATTGGCATCCAAATTGCCTAATAAATTCGCTGTTTGTATTCCTTCTTCAACTGAAAATGGATTTGGGACAATTTTCATTGGTGGAGGACCTTACTATATGCCTCCTTATCCCAATGACATGTCTCATTCACTCATCACCACTCCTCTCATCACTATTCCCGTCAGCAGACCTCCCGTTCTTACACGATCAGGAGGTCCTTCTGCTGAGTATTTCATTGGTGTGAAATCTATTCGGGTGGATGGTAAGCTTGTGCCTCTCAACGCTTCCTTACTAGCCATTGACAAAAATGGAATTGGCGGGACAACGCTTAGTACCGTAGCCCCTCATCCCCTTTTGGCTACTTCAATCTATGAGGCTGTTATCAATGCTTTTGTGAAGGCGGCTGCGTCTAGGAAGATGAAGAGAGTGAAATCTGTAGCACCATTCGGAGCGTGTTTCAGCTCCAAGACTGTCCTGGTTAGCACCAACACTGGACCGCCTGTGCTAACTATAGATCTAGTGCTGCAAAGCAAGACAAAGTATTGGAGAATTTATGGTGCCAACTCGATGGTGAAAGTTGGGAAGGATGTATTATGCTTGGGATTTGAGGATGGAGGATCAAACCCAATCACTTCAATCGTGTTGGGTGGCCATCTATTGGAAAACTATCTACTGGAGTTTGATCTAGCTTCCTCAAAGCTTCGGTTTAGCTCTTCACTGCTGCTCAAGAATACAACTTGTTCCCAGTCCAGAATCTTTTAAATTAAGAGTTTTTTTTTTTATTTTTTAAATCGAATAAGGATATGCTGGTTTAGTTCAAGATTAATGCTCATTTTATTTAAAAGCATGCTGCGTTTTTTGTTTTGTCCTTTCAAAATGTAAGGTTATGCTACCAAGTACCAATCTATATTTTAAAAACTTACAATTTGATAGTCTTCATTTATATATGGAATATGATACTTTTGGAAGAATGTAACTATATATATATGTATATATATTCTTTTAAAATGCATGTCTTTCTTGTCCAATAACGTAAAACACAAACTTCACATGCATATTCCTGTTGACATATAATTTATTCACGTGAATAAATTATTATAAGAGGTCATATGTGATGAGAGTACATGTTGAATAATTCTTTCTAACAGTTCAAACTTATAAAATAACTAGTGGTTAATTAAACTAAAGTTAACAATCGATTTCACAAGAATAAAATGGTAATGTGAATCACTGGACATTAATATCATGCTCGTTGACAATATCATATAGAAATTTGTGATGAACAATATTTGAAAGAAATTCAACCTACATAATGGTATGTTTTCTGTTTGATAGTTTTAATTTCAATAACATCTTATATTTCTATTAATGAGAAAAATGAGTTATCTTAGTCGTGTTCACATGAAATTTCATAAAACCGCGTGCACCTATATACTAACAAATAAATGACCAAAACTAACAAAAGTGATCATTTCCTCCCATTCTCGTACATTTTCTTAAAAAAATGTACATTAAAAATTATAAAAAAAATTAAATTTAGATATTAATCTCCATTGAGTATTAAAATTGTATATTATATATGTTAATATTTTTTACTATAAATAAAAAATTTATAACTATTCATTATATAAAATTACTAAAGTACTTCTCTGTTTCGATTATTATAATTGTGTTTTGTTAAATCTTGTAAGATTTATTTAATTAATATATATTTTAAAAATATACATATTTCATCAAGTTAACAATGATATATTTTTACCAAAATGGAATGGAAGTATTCAAAAAATATTTTATAAATTAAAATTATTTACAATTTGAAACAATTAATGTTTCTAATATTAGTTTTCCATAAACAATTGATAATGTAAACCATTGAAACAATTGTTAATGTAAACAATTGCTCTCAACTTGTTGGATGGAGTCATTGATCTTTCTGGCCTATTGGCATGGCTTAACTGTGATGAATATATATATAAGTCATCCTCCTATCGCCCAATTCGGTGTGGTTCTTCAAAACCCGCGCGCAGTCCCTGGTGCACCAACCACCGTCTCACGTTATAACCCCATCCTCAAGAGGTGCGCAAGGACGATAGGCTTGGTGAGGATGTCATGTCTGTGGATACAACGGATGGTAAGTTTTATTTGCTGCAGGCCAATGTGCTTCATTCATTTCCCCTTCTCGTGTGCACCTACATCTCTCTTGCAAGGCCTTGGTAGTGGTATCAATGGGGTGCTAGGCTTTGCAAGGACTCAAACTGCCCCGATTTATACTCAAGGAGATCCTTTCGATGAGTATGTCAAGCATAATTTATTTGCTTCTTTGAGAGCACATTTTATACATATGAGTACTGATCTTAGGATCGATGGAGTCCTTTATCTGATTGGAATTCAAGCATGATTATCGATTCAGTTAATTAATTCCGTTCAGAAGTAGGATTTTTCTTCTTTGATCTACAAATTGTTGAAAAGAGGATTTGATCATGCTACGAATAGAACAGAATATTCGAAAGTGTTCGTGTTCTACCAGCCATTCGTCTACAAAAATTTACTAAGACTAAAGTCGAGAGCGTTTAAACGAGGAACTGTAAAGTTAAAGATTTTCAACAACTAGTCCTTGGTAAAATGAAAAGAGTACAAGTAAACTTTACTTGTATTTTAGTTATTGCTTGTGTATTTATTTTTAATTTTATTTTGATAAATTACTATAAGTAAAAATCACAAATTGATTGTATTTCTCAAAGCCATTTCGTGCATGTAATGCAACTCATAAACTCTCCTAATTTTTTTTTCTCTTTTTTGTGCGTTTTAAAGACACTAGAAAATCACTATTAAGGGGGGTTAATGAACTCCTCCTCATTCCCCAGATCCCTGCTTTTCTTCTACTTTCTAAACCAAACGCAAGTTAAAGGTTCAATCTTCTCCTCGTCTTTCTTTTCCTTGCATTTTCATCCACCACCGAATCAAATTGTTGGAGTATTAGATAAATTAGAATACAATCAAAATCAAAAGGTCAGGTACCAGAAACTTCACGTGTTCCTATAAACATGTAATTTATTTACGTGAATAAATTATTTTAAGAGGTTAACTTTTTGGCATGCTAGACCAATCTTAGTTCTAGAGGGTTTGGCAGCACACTTGGACGCGGAGTGCTTCGAATTGCAGAGCGTGATTCCACAAAAGTTGGTCCACATCTTATATATATATATATATATATATATATATATATATATATATATATATCTTTATATTATAATATAGTAATGAATTTATTATATAAGGCATCTCTGCCACGACAATAAGCAAGTATCAATTTAATGAACCAGGTATTAATTATATATTAATCAAAAAAAAAAATCAATGGAAGTAAGAGCATGTTTGGAGGATGTTCTACCATGTTCTATTCTCTTCCTTACTGTGCAAATTGTTGAGGCCCAAAACTTGTTTGGCATGGTTTGCATTGTTTTCAACAGTGCAAGAACATTTTGCAAGAATGGGCCAATTGTTGGAACAAAAAATCAGTGTTCTTGCCTTGTTCCCAAATTGTATCGGCCCATTTTAATACGGCAAGAACAAGCACCAAACTTGTTCCATTTTGACAATTGCTATAAAGATATCGCAGAACACTTTCTAGGGTTCACGCAGCAAGGCGATTCAGAGGCGATTCACAGTGGTCTTCTTGTCACTGCAGTGAGGTTGAAATCGACGACACTGAATCAGATCTGAAGGTCGTCTTCTTGGAACGAAAGAGTTCATCGGCTTCTTCTTCTTGTTTTTGTTGTGCTCTGTCTAACATTTTTGACGTTGTTTGAAGATCGGGCTTCAAATCGACCATGTTTGTATGAAGATCTGACCTCTCTCTGTCTCACCTATACTGTAACGACCATAGCTGATGCCAAAATTTTAAAAAAAATTCGGCAGAACCTCCCCTAAAAATGGGCTTTCAACAACCTGTCCCAATACACAAAACACATAAAATCATCCAGCATCCCATTCATCCGTTCATTATACATCAACATAGTTTCTCTCATGGTGGAACATCCACACACCAATTAATCTAAATTAACATAATTACAGTCCCAAAATACATGGTTAAGATTTAAAGTTCCTGTCTTACAACGTTACATGACACAATTGCATGGAAACATATACCATAATTCCATTAGTTTCATTTACATCAAACAAAAGATAAGTTCGTTCTTAAGTTACAAGACCATGAATACTAACTTAGTTACATCTCCACAACTATGAATATACATAAAACGGTCAAAATACAAAATAGCAAATAACCTTCTAACAACTTTCCAGCTTGAGGTGGATTGTCGTCCACCGGTTCATTTCCAAGACCTGAAAAAAATAATATAAATAGTAGGGTGAGTATAAAGCTAAGTAGGTGACACTTAATACACAATTCTTGTGTCCTTGTAAATCCAAAAAAAGCATAGGCCAATGGGAAATAGGGATCATGCAATATAGGGAATTAAAATAATATACACGTCAATTCCAATTATAAACCATGCAGTGCAATGAAATGCAATGCATGCTAATGTCACTCCCCATTTTCATTCACAAAACCATCACTTTCAAATGTTAATACAGCCCGCCCTTTGGTAACCCCGCCGCGACACGAGAGGAGGATTGACTATCGTCCCTAGACCTTTGGTAACCCCGCAGCGTCATCGAGGGGCCCAAATAGCTCAACCACGCTAGGGCGACTCCCTAGTCCCCTCTAGGCTATATTAACCTCTGGCCCGTTGGTAACCCCGCAGCGACCGGGTTTATCAAAACTATTTGACAAAACTCTTCTCCCAAAATTTCCCCCATTTTCATTTCAAGACAAATTCTACCATTTCATGCATCCCAATGACATGTGCATGGATGTACATATAATCTCAATATTATGACAATGGGAAATTTGGCACAATCTAAATAAACATGTTCTCATTTGTCATTTTCAGCATGTTAACACATAGTGGGCATGATAAAGCAACATCTAAACATATTTTACATATGAAACAAGTCATAATCAAGCTCTTGAAAATTCTCTAGACATCATTCATACAATCATAGATACAATTAACTCTCAATTAAAAATGTTTGACACAACAAGGAGGTGTAATTCACAATAGAACAAGAAAGAAGTGGATTAAGATGCCCCTACCTCAAAATGAGCAAAATCCCTAGAAACAGGTTTTTAAATTTGAGCTCCCAAAGAGGACCAAAAGGTAGAATTTCTGGTACTAGCACGTAGAGCTCGTCGTGCTCGTCGTTTTGCCTCAAACGGCTCTCAAATCCACCAAGGATTGAGAGAGCAATCAAGATTTGAAATTGTAGAAGAAAAAGAAAAAAAGAAAAAAGAAAATAAAAAGGAACAGAGAGGCTGCGGGAGAAAAGAAAACAGAGAACAAGAAAAAATGAAAAAAAAAAAACGTGGCCTTATGACCACTTTACAAAAGCTGTGAGTCCCACCTTTTTTTTTTTTTTTTTTCTTTATAACTTACAGACATTACATTCTCCCCAACTTTAAAAGATTTCGTCCCCGAAATTAAGACATACCTGGAGAAGAAAACAACTCTGGATACTTGGAGCGAACCTCCTGTTCGAGCTCCCAAGTAGCCTCCTTGACTCCGTGGTGTCTCCAAAGGACTTTCACCATTGGTATCGTCTTGTTCCTCGACACCTTTTGTTGTGTGTCAAGAATCTGAATTGGTCCTTCCTCGTAGCAAACATCTTCATCAATGTCTACATCAACCCAACTCAAAATTTGAGATGGATCTGGCTCGTACTTCCGTAACATTGATACATGGAAAACATTGTGGACCCTATCCCACTGTGGTGGCAAAGTAAGTCTGTAGGCAACCTCTCCTACATGGTCCAAAATCTA